AAATGAGGTAGGACCATAAAAACTCTGTAGACTTATTCTTCATAGACCCAATATATTGAATATCGTATATTTTGGTTTTACTTAGATATTGGCATTATCTCATCTGTTATATAATGATAAAGTTATTCAAATAACGACTTAAAGATGTGCCCTGTAATAGTGCATATATTCTCTTTTTACATTTACTCTCGTCTATATTTTGATGTTTTATGTTCCAACCAGTAGAACCATTTTTAAGTAAAAGTAAATTCGCGCTATAGCAAATTAAACGAGTCGTTTTACATTCACATTTTCGCAATATTCGCCTTTTAATCCACATATTTTTTAACTTTAAAATAAGAGGAAAAGGCATATATATATCTCTAACACTCGTAACCTTGAATAAATATAATTGACTTTTTGAATGTAGATAATTATGGCGCGAAGATCAGAGAAACATTTATGAAAAGCGATTACCATCTGTTCGGATACTTTGATACAAAAAGTCTATAGTAAGAAGACTCTACAATGTCGGTAGCAAAGTTTTTTTTGTAAAAGAGATGCTTAAATATTTTAATTCAACCAAATTGATAATATAAGCGTAATATTACAAAATTATAAATACCATTACTTACCACTTTATTTGCTTTAAGACTTACGGTAAAAAATACTATTTGATTTTCCAACTGGTAAAACCTTTGTTCAATAAATTCTGAATATGTAATAAAACAAATACAAATATTTCGTAAAAGTAATGTAAAAGAGAGCTCGACTGATGAATAGAAGACAGCGCTTAGGATTTTTTTAAAACTTAATTACTTTAGAGCTTCTACCTGAATATTTCAAAACAAGAAAGATAACATTTCACTGGGCCATATATGATATTATTGATCTAACGAAATATTTCTTTAAACAACTATATACATGCATACATATATGCATATAAAAAAAGTTCATACATGTATATAGAATTATTTATTTACATGTTTCATAATTATGTGGGAATTACCATTTAAAAAGCAGTATTATTCGAATAATATTGTTCAACAAAACCGCTAAAATTATTAGATAATATTGAATCACACCGAAGTATTGTATTTGCCCAGCTGTACCAATACGTAGAAGGGCCTTCCGACAACACAGTGCAATATCGTCTAATCGATGTTGACATCGGCCGCAGGGACACTACCCTTGATTGTCAGAGTATAGCTGGCCGGTCAGGCGATGCGAGTTTGAGATATTTAATATATACATCCAGTTATATGTTATCCAGGATATCACCCGAACATAGGTGCGCTACTTTGTGGTGAAAACCGTTTGGTTTTAGGCGACAGGCATTCCTGCCTGTCAAACGATCGTAGGGGGATGGAGCTGGCGGAACAGATTGACGATTCAACATTCTGCACAATGAGCCAGAGTTATGGGCGCCTGTAATAGCTCGCCAGATTTTACCATCGCTAGCGGTGGTCTGATAAAAAGCATAACCTGGCGACCTAAGCTAACTCTCGCACCAAACCATCTGTGTATAATTATCTCGATCGAGAAACCTCCCGACTTTATTTCTGTGGACAACCGTACCTTCCTTAACTCTAACAAAGCTAACTGGGTCGGCTTCATAGAATTCTGGGAGAGCACCTTCACCGCACTAGCCATTCCTACGGACGTCATCGTTGGCGAGCGTCGATGCTACTACTCACTTCAAACCGGCTAGAAGAATCGCGGAATTCGCCCTAATTTCCAGCCGAAACAGCTGTATTAGCGAACGAACGCGACCCCTTACGCCATGCCGATCCCTGTGATCCCCGAATAAGAGATCTCAATTCGGACATTCAGCAAATGGTAAACCTGATGGTGAAATCTTGTAGCCTTTCTACCGGTGTGAGTAAGCTTTCGAATATTGTCAAGGCCTTGCCAATTCCGAACGATCGGATTGAAATCCAATTCGATGGCCATGCCTCCTCGGGCCCGAAGGAGTGCGCAAGCTATTTTAGCCGGCAATTTACATTGGCCCTGGTGAAATTAATATGCTGATGCTTAAGCATCTAGGTACGACGGCAGTAAGCTTCCTAACTAAGGTCATCTACCTGTCGCTGACTACTGTTCAAATATCCGATAGTGAAGACACTTGAGAGTTTGTTGCTCACAACATTCACCCACCACCTGAGTCTAGCAGACCATCAGCGTAGCTTTCATTAAGTGCACAGCACCCTACAGCACTTAGTGTCATAAACGCCCAGATAGTTCATGGCCTAAACCAGAAGCCACCTTGCGATCCTCGTAGCGTTAGACTTGTCAAAAGCTTTTGACACAATCAATCACACAACGCTACTTGAGGACCTAGAAAAATCAACGCTGCCTCTACGGCTGAAGCGGTGGACTATGAACTACCTGAGCGGTTGGCATTCATCCGTACTGTTTCAAGGTCAAAACTCCAAACTTGGAAGAACTACACAAGGGGTGCCACAGGGCGGTGTCCTCTCCCCGCTACTGTTTAATTTCTATATTTCGAAACTCCCCAAGCTACTAGAAGGAATTTCCATGACCCCGTACGCTAATGACTTCCCGATATTGACGTCGGGCAATGGAATCGATGGCATGTGCTCGAAAGTAAACGGCTACTCTCCGACCTTTCTCGCTTCTTTTCTGCAAGGAACCCAACACTCTCCTCACTAAATCCACAGCGACAATCTTTACAAACTGGACGAAGCAGTACAGACTGGATCTAAACATTTCTGTCGATGGCATTAAAATTCCGATAGTCAGCAACAAGCACTGACCGCCACTCACAGTGGAGCTATCAACACCTTCATCGACTCCCTCTCAGTGAATGGCGTACTAGAAGTCAACCCACTACCCATCTCAGACATAGAGCTCGAGTTCACTGGGGGAATCTAGCGTGACCCTTGCGCAACTTCGTTCTGGATACTGTAGCAGGTTAAACTATTACTTATTCAGAATCGTCCCCGACATACCCAATATATGTCCTGCATGCAATGAGTCTCCGCATAACACTAACCACATCTTTGCATGCCCAACGAACCCCACTCATCTAACACCCGTTTCACTATGGTCCGACCCCATCGAAACTGCTCGTTTCCTGTGCCTCCCGATAGATGATCTCGACGACAACCAAACTATAACTTACTACCTAAGAGGGGACTAGATAACTGTTACAACATCAACAACAGGACGGTCCGATAAGTACTTAGTCGCACGGCACAATGGCGATACTATCGCAAGAGAAATTTATTATTATGTAAGAAATTAACTATAGTCGACGGCTACTATAGTCGGTGATCCGATTTTTATTTTGAAAGGGAAATCGAACGTTAAACCAAAGAGGGCTGGGATTCGGAGGTGAACGTAACAAAATCCATGCTCTCATATTGGCAGACTGAAAGAGCTGAAACTATTCGCATCTCAAAGGGTCATGTTCGTACTTGTATGAAATAAGACCACTTCGTCACCGTTAACGAAACGTGAATTCATTGGTAAATACCAGAGAGTAAGGAGCAGTCAAACAGTGGGCTTCAACAAGCTGAATCTGACTATCCTATCAGCCGGAAACATGATGGCCGCAGTTATTGGGCCGTTTCGATGCTGATTCTGAGAAAAACTGGACCGTTTGGCGGAAAAAGTGCTCTTCCATGACTACACTCAGGACCCCAAGGCTCGCACATATGCTGCCGCCAGGGTCAAGTTGAATGAACAAGTTGCTATCCCAGGCTGTAATTTGCGTCGAATAAGGTGGTTATCAACGCCTCGCCGAATTTGCAGACCTACATAAAACTGAAAATATATTTTTCAGAGGGGTTCAAGAATTTGAAGCATTGCAGGTTTTGTTGACAACAAATATTGGTATTATAAATGTAATATTTTGTGGTGTAATTGGACAGTGCTATTTGCCTAACTACCTGTGCCATATATTTTTGGCACCAATTTACATTGTCTACACAGAAATATATATGTTTTTAATTAAATATCTCACATTTTAACTAATATATGTATATGGTATATAACTAATCAAAAGGACACTTATTATCATATTCGGTATATGTAAGCTAGGGAAAGACTGTTCCCAATTATTTCAGAACCAAATTTTGCTCAACTTCGAAATCTTGTTTATTATAAACATTCTATGGAAAACATGCACAGTTCTCCGATTTCCTCCATTAAGATACTGTCAAACTTACGTAATAAGAATTATTAAGAAACGATTTTTCATTAAATCGATGAAGTATATTTGGAGATCTTAAGATATTCCTAAAAACATAAATTGTGTATCAGCTCTGAAAGAATATGAAACTTGTATATTTCTTACCGAAGTATGCACAAATGTATAGGTTTGCATCAAAAAAAAATGGGAAAATGTTTAAAGCTTTTTGAAAACCACAATTTTCGCCATATTTTTAAAAACAAATAGTTATTTAGAACGTATTAAAATATAATATATAAAACTCGTTCCGTCTTTAAATTTTACAAATATCGTACTTATATATTGTATAATATATTCTTTGAGAACATTATGACAATGCAACGCTTTGCGTCCCTGTTGGTAATACATAATTTACATTAAAATTTAAATAAAAGGCATATGTACACATACTGGTTATACACTTCGACAGTTTAATTCACGTGTTAAAAAAATTATGTAAATGAGTATAAGTGAAATTTAACGTTAACATTGGGTTGAACGTAGTATCAAATTCATAAAACATAATTATTGCAAGTGTAGTTCCTCCTTTTTATAATCGATTTCGTTCGAAACAGGGTGTCGATTGTACTCATAATTATTTAGTTTCATAACATCATAAATCATTCATCGTTAAGATTTTGAGAATCCATAGTGAACGAATTTAATATGGAAAATCAATATATATAAGTTTATGCGTTATATAGTGATTTCAATTGTATTGCGTAGTTTGGTAAAGCATCGGTACGCAAAGTTTATTAAAAATTGCCTGCATAAATCTCATAAAATTCAACAAAAAAAAATACGGTTATTATACAAGTAATTTTACCGTAGTACGAAATCCGTAAGCGTAAAATATAATTGAGAATAAACCACTCTGCACTCTAAAACAATACTGTCAATTATAATATTATTTCTGATTATTAATTTAAGCACAAATTGATCCACTCACTCAGTGAGTGACGACTGCAGAGAGTTAACTGATTTTGTTATCATTCTATTGATCACATGATGCTAAAGTGAAATGGGATCTTGGCTAAATTAAAACTTTAATTATACACAGTGCTGCGGTAACTATCTATATTTTATCCACATAAATTATATTTAATTTCTACGTTCTTTGAATGTAAGTGATACATCGCTTAGTATGTACATACATATGTATATATTATATATTAGTAGTAACGTTCCCAATGGCAATCAATCTCATTTATTTAGACAGAATTAATTCCCTACCACAGAAAAATTTTATGATAATTAAAAATATATTAATAACATTGAGTTTGCACATATCTGATTTCCTTATTTTTGTGGTAATTTGGCCACACCTGTGTTACTATTAAATGAGATAAAACTGCACGCAACAAATGTATACTTGAATAAATAAACTAATAAATAATTTCTCAGTTTATGATGTAATTTTTTCTATTAGTACAATAATATTTTTCCTTAGCACTTTTGAATATTGGAAATGGAAAGCTATTCATTGTGCACATCAAGATTTTCGCAAATAATCGGCTGTGCACTAGTAAAGTCGGCTGTTAAAAAGTAATTGTCTATTGAGAGAATTTTCGTCAGAAATGTGGCCGAAGGTTTACAATTAGTAGATATTATAATCAATATCTCTATAAAAACAAACATTATTAGTTTTTATTTTCAGAAATTATTTCAAACTTCTAGATGCAAATAAATCGTTTATTGGTAAACATAGACCAGTTATTTTTAAAGAGGGTATACTAAATTTGCACGAAGTTTGTAACACCCAGAAGGAAATGTCGAAAATTTCCAGAAAATAGTGTAGTGGTTTTGTCACAAGCAATTATTTTGTCTCATTAAATACATATATGACGTACATCATTGCTCACTCACGTTAAAACATTAACTGTGATGTAGCAAGTCTTGGTTTAAAATATAATACAGTAAATATGTTTCCGACAATTAATGGCAATGAATTCACCAGAATATACGTATATGACTACCCCATTTTAATTGCTAATGATTTATAATAAAACCTAAGTACATGCCATTTTACAATTTCCAATTCAATACGAGGGCAGGTTGTCACGAGTTGTGTTAAACAATTTTAATTTGAACACTTATACATACATGTTGGCATATTTATAAGGTTTGATCATTAAGTGTGTTTCTTAACTGCTAATTATCACTAGCTAGCAAAGGTTCTGCTGAAATAGCGTTTCTTAACACAAAAAACTAGCAGAAGAGAGCACAAGTAGAGAGCGATAAAAGCTGAGAGGGCTGCTAGTTTCTGTTAGTGAAATTTCTACTAGCAAAAAAATAGCTACTGCCATATAAAGAAACAGCTGTTAAAACATATGAGTAAACAAGCGAGATTTGACGAAGAAGCTTTGAATATTTTAATAGTTTCGAATTGTGGAAATAAAAATTCTATTGATTAATTTTCATGTGTTGATATAATGTGGTTATCAAAAACGACATTTTGACCATCTGTCCTAGTCTTTCTAGACCTAGCAAAAGCGTTCGATACTGTAAATCACGAAATACTATTAGATAAAGTCTGGAGGCTTGGGATTAGAGGAATACCTCACCAATTACTTAAAAACTACCTTTACGAAAGGGAACAATGTGTAAAAATCAAAAATTTTATTAGTACAAAAACTAATGTAAAAGTTGGTGTGCCCCAAGGCACAATATTGGGTCCTCTGCTGTTTGTCATGAATATAAATGACATCTTCAATACTCTACCGGAAATGGCTCTCGTAGCCTATGCTGATGATACTGCAGTGCTTTGCTCTGGTAAAAATTGGAATGAAGTTAAAACACGCCTGAATAGATGGTTGGAGATACTAAATAAATTGCTATGAAGTAATCAATTATCTCTTAACATAGACTAGTCAACATACATTACTTTTGGCAGTTATTGTAATAGTATACCTGTCAATTATATACTAAATATAAAGAACATAGAACTCACAAGAGTAGATTACAGCAAATATCTGGGTCTGTACTTTGATACACATATGAAATGGAATTTTCATGTGAACGAGCTGGCCAAAAATATCTGACTTTGCTTTCCTCACCAATGGGTTGACATACCAATCTTAAAACTATATACTATGGATTTTTCGAAAGTGTAATCAATTACGGAATAATTGCCTGGGGTGGAGCCTACAAAAATGCTCTGCAACCTATAACAAATATGCAAAACCGTTTATTAAAGTTCTTTGAAAACAATTATGAAACTAACTTGCCACTTGACATCAAGAAAACTTTTACTGTTAAGGCTCTAATACAATACTATGAAAAGTGTAAATCAAAATATCTTACTAAACAAGTACAAACTAGAGCTAATACTCTAACATTACCAAAAATTAAAAAGTCAATTAGCATTAAAAATTCGTATTATATAGCAATTAAGTACTTTAACATGCTTCCTAATAATTTGAAGATTCTAACATGTAATAAAAAATCTCTCCTGGATAAATAACTTATCAATATACTAAATTTTAGCTATCTATTAAGTGTTTCATTTTTGCTCTTACTTGGTATAATTTATATTTTATATGTATATTTTTGTTACGCAATATTTAATGTAATATACTATGCTAGAATATTTATAATATTAGGAAATAAGCTGTTAATTATATTGTATTTCCGTTTCTTTACTTTTTCGTTATATAGCTCTTTATGAGAGTAACTTTTCAATTCGCTCAGCGTTGTTCTTCCTGATAGCTAGCAGCTACTAGCAGTTAAGAAACAAACTAATTATTGGGTTCAAAACTTAGCTCGTTTATTATGAAAAACATCACAAACCAAACCTTTACAATTTTTATTGTTACAATCAATAACATATCAGTTGAAAACCGTCAATATATCTAACGCCAATTTTCCAAAGACTGGAAAAACATTTCAAATACTTTAATAATTATTCTGCAAAAGAACCACAAAAGTCTGCCAATAATCCAATTTCCAGCTTTGAAACTCCCTCTTATAAAAACCACCTCTATCTACTCAAAAAATTAAATCAAAACATTTTTCAGGTTCGCGGAAAAATCCTAATATGTTAATGGTAAAAGATTTTCATTAACAAAAAATTTAATTGTTGTTATTTTTCCTTTCACTTTTAAGAGAGTTTATTTTGAAGATAAGAACCATAATTAGACGAAATGATGCAGGAAATGTTAAGCGTGCGTATCAGAATGTACCGGGTATAATTGAGCAAATTAAACAAAAAACAAATAAGGAATGGCTAGTCCACAATTGTTCTGTATTATTGCTGTTTGGTTCTACCCGAAGATACGTTTGTTACTTTCTCTTTTAGTCATGTTTGAATCAGCGTTGCCGTTTTGGTTCGATCGGACCAAAATTGATAGTTTCATCGCCTTTGGTAGTTTGGTTGATATGGTTTTTGTAGGCAATATTACTTATTTACATTGAACCAAAAAAATTGTGCAGGACAATGGTTTGATTTTGAAATGACTTATCTCCTAAACTCTCAAAAATTTTGAGTTGTATCAAAAAGTGAGAAAAAGGTGAGATTAGTTTTCATAATGTAATTGAAAAAGATTTTTAAAAATTAAGTTTTCTTCAAAAAATTAAAAAATTCAAATTAACTCAATTTCGGAAAACCAAAAAAAAAAGTTTATACAGTTTGCAGAAATTGACATTTTAACCATCTTGAATAAAAATGAATACTTTGTATGTATCTGTTAGCCGTCATCAGACCCAAATGAATTAAATTTGGACTCATCTGTAAAAAATAAAGAATACCAAAATTCGTTACCTTAATTCAGATATACTCTTTGAAATATAATAAACGTGTATGTAGGTGTTCGGCAAGAGATAACAAGAAGCATCCTGTAATGGTACGGAGTGCAGTAGAAGGTGCGTTAAAAAGTAAACAGTAAAAAAGTAACAAAGTAAACTCTAGTGGCGCCATCTAGTGTGTTAGAATCTGCTATCCTTTATCGACTTCCAGTAAAAATTTCATGACATTTCTTCTATTGGAAGTGAAGTTATTGCGTTTTAAGTGTCAGTATGTCTTTGCCATCGGCGCGAAAACGAGCTTCGAACAAACATTAAATTTTGTTTTTTAAATTGGTAAAACTTTTACCGAAACGTTTTAATTGATGAAACAAGTTTATGGCGATGATTGCCTATCCCGTAGCATAGTGCACGAGTGGTTTCAACGTTTTCAAAGTGATCGTGAGGACATAAATGAGAAATGAGCCGAAACTCAAGAAATCGCGCCTAGAGAAGTCAAAAGTGAAGACAATGCTGATTTGTTTTATGATTCCAAGGGTATTGTCCACAAATAATTTGTTTCACCCGGCCAAAACGTTAATGCGGTATTCTGCTTTGGATTTTGAAGCGTTTGGTGCGCCGTATTCGACGTATTCGGCCCGAATATCGCGAAGATGGGAGTTGGCGTTTATTGCACGATAATGCGCCGTCTCATCGATCGACTCTTGTGGCCGATTATTTGACCAAAAATCACATTTTAACAATCAATCACTCCCCGTATTCACCTGATATGGCACGTTACCGATGAAAGGAAAGCGTTATGCAGACGTATAGGCCATTCAAAAGGCTTGCACCGGCATACTGGCGGCCTTACCGGGCAACGAGCCAAAACACTGGTTCGACATACTTTTGGACCGTGCAAAAAGCTGTATTAAAGCAGAAGGAGACTATTTTGAATAAAGTTAATTGATTTTGCCGATAAAACCATTTTTTCTGTCTTTTTTTTTAAAGTCCTGTTTACTTTGGAACCCACCTTGTATTCTCATACGAAGAAGCTTCTCGTCTGCATTTCCCTACATCCAGACGACCATATCAGAGCAACGTAGTTGATGACCTACCGGCCGATTGCCTTGCACGTTGCCAATAACGTTTTTTTGTTCTTCCCCCAGGAGCTGCTGACTAGCGCCTTGAGGACTTTGTTGCGGATCTGTACTTTGGCATTAATCTCGGTCGTATAGAAGGTTATAAAATCTTAAGGTTGTTGACAGTCACAATTTTAACGCCATCACTTTGATATCAGATTAAGTTTGTACTGCTTCGGTCAGCCGTTAATATTGGTCGCCTATGGATTTAATTTGATTTAGAGTGTCAGGCCTCCTTGTAGAGAAAGAAGTAAGAAGCGATGTGAGATAGCTGTTTACTTTCGATCACATTGCCATCGATTCCATTCCTGAGTCCAATATTCGTACAATCAATCTGCATATGAGGTGATGGGATTCCTTCTGGCTGTTGGGGAGTCTCGCAATACATAAGTTTAAACCACTAGAGGAAAGACCACTGGCCCTGCGGAACCGCCTTTTTAATGCTTCTATAACATAGAATTTTGACCAACTTGACAATCTTTTTATAAGGTTAATTGCTCGCCTCACCTTCCAAAGCGAAATTCCGAGGAAGTGGTTAAAAATATTCGATTGGCTTGTGGAAAAGGAAAGGTGTGGATGTAGCTAAAATGACCTCTGAGGTTTTTATTTATGTACATATTTTTCTAAATATGAAGTGAAATAAAACTTAATGTTTTGATGATAAGAAAATTTGGTAGTTTCGCAACAGATTTGGTATTTCTCAGATTTTCATCTGACATCTTGATTTTTTTTTAAATTTACTTTTTACTTTTAATAATACGCTTAAAACCAAAAAACGAT